CATCAATAACGTAACTGTCCCTAAACAACTATATTGCTTAATGGTTTATTTTTATTAACTAAATTCATAAAATCTATTCTCTAAAAGCCCATATAATGATTTGTAAAGATGAATTAGCAGAAGAATAAATGTGGCAAAGTAGGTAGAGAATAGGGCATTTAAAATCATTTCTAAAGATTGCCTGTCCTATGTGCCACGATCTTCAATGAGTCCTTTGGAATCTTTAATTTCCTGTGGATTTCAGGTGCTTAATCAAAGCACTCTTTTCACCAATGTTTAATTAAGGAATGCTTAAAGAGGAATATTTTCCTCCCACAATTTTGGGTTTGTGACCTTCTAACCATACTACACCACTTTTTATCAGATCATTCCAATTGGCCTCTATAAAACTGCTCTCTGGTGGCTTTTCCATGAATGAGAAGCAATTTCCTACATCTTGATTGGGCTGTAGAAAGCTATATAGTGGTCCCCAAATAACAGAATTCGCTCTTTACTGTAGCAATTCTTGATAGTCTGGTTTCTGTATAAATCTTGAAAAGTCACTTACGGTTACTTGCGACTAAGTTTCCACATTTATAAAATTACTAGATTAACTCCAAGGATCTTTCTGGTTGAAATAGTCTATTATTCTCTTCAGATCACATATGTCAATACTGTGACTAAGAGAGCCCAAGAACAATCCCATCTTAATTAAAGCTTCTAAAAATTCAAAACATTTCTCATCCCTCCTCTAGTCCCAAAAGGATAGTCACAGCTACTGTGGAACATTTAAAAAATGTTTTAATAGTGCAGTTTAAAATTTCCCAATAAAGACTATCTTGCCACACAATAGTTAAGATTGTAATTTAGGTTTTAGTCACTGGATTCTAAAAAGGAATTGAATCATAAAGATAATAGGAAGTCATATATAAGAAAAGAAATTATGCATGAGTGTCCATTTCCAGAAACCAGTCTCATTTCATACCATGTTATCTCCTGTAGCTGGGAGCAATCTCAGAAGTCCAAGCCTAACCTCCGTCACATCTAACCTTAAAATAAGTCAGATTCGCCTTATCAGATCACTCAATTTCAGCCAAATCTGGGGATTCTGAACTAAAAGGCCTGTATGGGATGTGGGGGGCTAGAGCAGGGAGGTGGCAACACAGGATGAGCATACATGGAGGATTTCACTTCCTGGTAAGAGTTCATCTGAATTAAAATAATGTTGGATGCCCAGCTCGATCCCAGGTATGGGGTGCGCAGGAGGCAGCCGATCAGTGACTCTCATCATTGATATTTCTCTTTCTTTCCCTCTGCATTCCTCTCTGAAATCAATAAAAAATATATTTAAAAAATATGTGAAAACCAAAAATCCAATAATGAATGATTTACTAAAAAACTACATGCAAAGAACTCTGCTAGGCACATGGGGGGATACATAAATGAATTCAGGGAATTTAAGAATCAATTCGTATTTTAATCCTATAACACACTATTTGAAATGAGTGTGGGTAGCCTGCCATCTTTTTATTGCCTTCTCCACTCCATCCCTTCTCTAGTGCAGTTTGAAACAATATTAAGATAAATAAACCAAAATATTAATACTTAAGGAAATATGCTGTTTCATGAGTGATACAAAATGATTTAGGAATTCAAAGGCTAACTGGCCATCTGGTTTTAGTAACTAGTGAAGACTTACTGGGATTAGTTTTGAGCAAGGTCTTGAAAGATAGGAATAAATCCATTTTAGTTTACCTGTTTGCCCTTGGAATATGTTTTATTAATAAAGAGCATCACAGATGGGAAAAGCGTACTCTAAAACAAGGACAAAGATCACCATTAGCAAGCATCAAGTCACCAGTTAATAGCAGCCCTTCTTCACTAGTGATTTCCATTGTCTCATGCAATCACACAATGGCAATAGTGCTCATCCAACTACAAAGTTTATTTTTGTTACAATAACCACTAGTGTTTTTGCCAAATACAGATCTGCTATTTAAAAGAGGAAACAAAACAGTTTCTTTAAAGTGAAAAAGGCAAAGCTTAAGGGGAGTCTCCCAGACATCAATTTCCACTGTGAAACACTACCATCCAATGCAAATAATCATTCTCTTCCAGTTCTCTACTTAACTTTTACCTCCCATCAAATACCATCATGCATCTGAGGTGCACAAAGATGTACATGACTATAGGTTAGGATAATACACACTGTAATGGCTTCCATTATTTCTCATGGGCAAACTGTTTTGAAATCTGACTTCAGGTTACTAGCACTTATGTACGAACACAAAGCTCTTACATGCCTGAGTTTCCAGCGCAGGTAGAAGATGAAGGCTGAAAGAGTATTACAAGCCTCTATCCTAGAACCCTAAGGGAACCAAAATTGTTTCAAGTTCCATACGTTTAAGTAAAAAGACATTAGTCCAGATCTCTCTTCCCCCCCCCCCCCACACACAAACACCTTCAAAATGTCATGATCCTGTTTGCTTTTTTCTAATAGATGCTAAACAAACACCTAACAGTGGTTCTCAACCTTCTGGCCCTTTAAATACAGTTCCTCATGTTGTGCCCAACCATAAAATTATTTTCGTTGCTACTTCATAACTGTAATGTTGCTACTGTTATGAATCGTAATGTAAATATCTGATATGCAGGATGGTCTTAGGCGACCCCTGTGAAAGGGTCATTCGACCCCCGAAGGGGTCGCAACCCACAGGTTGAGAACCGCTGAATAGTGAAAGACTTAGAATGTAAAGAACTTACACATTTTAGTTAACTCCAAAATTTTTTTATTTTAAATATATTTTTATTGATTTCAAAGAGGAAGGGAGAGGGAGAGAGAGAGAAACATCAATGATGAGAGAGAATCACTGGCTGCCTGCCCTGTGCCCTTGACTGACTGGAATCTAGTCTGGGACCCTTCAGTCCGCAGCCAAGGCTCCATCCACTGAGTCAAACCAGCCAGGGCCACTCCAAAATTTTAAATAATATTCCTTCTCTTACTTCCGCTGGTATACAGTGAGCCCACGTTCACCTACGAAATGACAGTAACAGCACCGCCTGAGGAAAGTCATGTGAAGATAGTAATATAAAGAAACCCCAACCCAACTAAAGGAAACATCGCTTTCTCACTCCTGTCACTGGTAACTCCTAAAGCTCTACGTGGTATAATTTATCTTTTCACATACAGGATAATGATGCTCCCAGTCGTTAATACAAATTATCTCAAATATGACCAAGGGAAAAAAATCGTTAACTGTATAGGTCTTCCAATACATTACAAATACTAGGTTAAAAAATCAATCTAGTTTCACATAACTTGGTCAAACTTGGTAGAGACCAAGAGGGTGGGGATGTGACAGCAACATGACCACGGACAGGGCTAGTGAACAATAAGCCGTGAATTAAAAGTACGGGCCTGAGACAGACGGAGTCAGGAGCACCGCACACCTCCAATTCTTCCTATGCGTTCCCTCCTTGACAACAGAAATGACTTCCAGGCCTGGCTGGCGTCTCACTCCCCACCCCGCGCCGGTGACAGAAACCCTTTTCCCAAGAGGAGCCTATAGGAAGATGCAGGAGCCTACGGCCTCGGTTTCTCTCTAACCGGGCAGGTACCTGCACCTGGCCTTACACTTTCCCACGGGTTCCCCCTCCCGAGGGGTGAAAGCACCCACACCCAGTCTCCCACCCCCACCCCCACCCCGTCAGGAGTCCTCGCATGAGAAGCTCATGGAATACTTCTGTCCCCGCTCCCCACCCTTATTCATGGCCGAGCAAGACACTCTCCGCATCCTTCTTCCAAGGGAGGGACTAGCGAAACAGGAGGCCTGTTCGGGAAACGAACGCCGCGGAGCGCTGACCACCACACCTCAGTTCAAACCCACGGGGCTGGCCTCCTCTCTCGGCCTCGGCCCCACGGGGTCCCCTAAATACTGAGATCACTCGCCTCCGCGCCCTCCCCAACCCCCATGCCTCGGAGACAAGGCCGGAAAATGAGAAGAACCGGGTGAAGCGCGAGGGTGGGTCATCCCTCACCGAGACCGCAGCCCCATCCCCACCCCGCACCCCCGCCCCGGACTGGAGTCCCCGGGGAGGATGGAGATCGCGG